ACCACGGCCTGCAGCCCAGAGACCCCTTGGGGGGCGGGGGGCGGGGAGAACCCCCAGCTTCACTCCCCTGGCAGGGAACCCTCTGCCCCCACCCCCACCCCCAGCTCTGCCAATGCACGGAAATCCCACCAGGCTCATGGGGAAAAGGCTTCTGTGTCACAAAACCATCTCTCTCTCTCTCTCTCTCTCTCGTTCCTCCCCCTCCCCATGTGCTTCTGCAGGCTCCTCACCAGATGAGTGCCAGGAAGTGCCGAGCCTGCTGCCGGGGGATGTGACCGTGAAGGGTGTCATTCCCCCACAGAGCTCCTTGGGAACGAGGGGGGCCCAGCGCCGCCGCTCTCAGACACAGGGAGTGAAGCCAGGGAGGGTTTCCTGTGGGAAGGGGGCCTCGGCCGATGCTCCACGCAGCCCGCCTCCTCTCCCCCTGAGGGGGGGCCTTTCCCCTGGCCATCATGGCCCCCCCATCAAGGGAAGTCAGGGGGACCAAGGCAGGGGCCGGAGAGGGGCCACACCCCACTCGTGGAGCAACCGAAGGGTCCGGAAGGCACGGGGGTGGGTGGGCTGGAGAGGCGCACTGCCTGGCCTGGGTGGGGCTCCCTCTCTGCCTATCCCCTCGGGCCCACTGGGAGGGAAGCAGAGGCCCAGATGTTGCAGGAGACCCACCGCCACCAGCTCTTGCAGGCTCTGGGGGGGGGCACTGGTGAGCTCCCCCACGGGAGAGGCAGTGGAAGGTGGGGGTGGCCCTCCGGTGGTCCCCTGGGAGAGGCAGGGAGGAAAGGGCCACGGGCTGGCCAGAAAGACCAAAGCGGCCGCGACTCCCCTCCGGACGCCTCCCGATTCATGCCGCAAGAGTGGATTCCTAGGCCGCTGCACCAGGAGACAGAGTGTGGAGCTGCCGAGCAGCCGCTCCCCCAAAAGAGCGCGGCAGGCGCAGGGAAAGGTGTCGCCGCCGTCCCCTCCGTGCAGCTCTGCAGAGGGAGGCGGGAGGGAGGGAGCTTCTCGGCTTGCCAGCCCCCTCCCCCGCTTGCTGTTACTGTCACTAATTTAAAACTTTAAATATTAATCTTTTCGATCGACGTGAGATGCCGAGTCTCGGAAAGTGTTAATTTACTCTCAGCTCCTGACGGTGGGGAGATGTTACGGGTGCGGAGCTGCGTGGCTGTGCCTCATGTGCGCTCCTCTCTCCCCTCCCACCTTCCGTGGCGGGGGTGCCCTCCTGCGCTCGCCCCCCCCCGTCCCACGCGGCTCAGCCTCACAGGCCCTTGTTGTAGGTGACGGTCTCGCTGGCCGTGGCTCGGGCGATCTCGGGCTCCAGGCGCCACGTCTCAATCTGAAAGGGAGAAGCAGAGGCAAGGTGTCAAGGCGGGGTCCCCCCTGGGAAAGGCCACCTGGTCCCCCAGACACTCGGCCGCCCTGGCCAGGAAGGAAGGAAGGCAGGAAGGCAGCCAGGCTGGACCCGTGGATGGACAGTGGGCGGAGTGGCAGACCCAGGTTCGAATCCCTCCTCCTACCCTGGAAGCTCACCGGGTGACCTGGGGCCTGCCACAAACTCTCAGCCTGGCCTCCCTCACAGGGCTGTTGCTGTGAGAAAAAGGAGGTGGGGGAGAAGAATGTGCTAAGCCGCATTGAATCCCAGCAAGGGAGAGAAGCGGGATGTAAGCGCATCAGTGCAATAAGCAAATGCATCTCCACTGCAATCCGGTCTGCCCCGCTGGCTTGGGAACGCTGGCCACAGAGCCCCAGCTGCTGAATGGGCCTCCTCCTCCTGGGGGAGTCCGTCTTCCCCCCAACCCTGGGCCTGGGGCCCACTATGAACCAGAGCAAAGGGTTTCCTGCACACGTATAGCGTGAAATATCTCACTCGGTGGATCAAAGCTCTGTGAAAAACCCAAGCCCCACCGATGCTCCCTCAAAGCTGTGGAGTCTCGTGAGCAAAAATAAAGTTGAGAGCGAGCCATTTAGCTATGACATAAATTAGTTTGCTCTGGAGCCCTCCTTCCTGAGCTAAGACAAAACTGTGTGAGCCGGAGGCTAAAAAACTGTGAGCTAGCTCACACTCACTTCGCCTAGAGGGAACATTGAGCCCCACTGAAAGCTACGGGTAAGCAAACGGCCCTCTTCCCTTCTGGGGCCGGATAGTTTTCACGGGTAACGCGCGGACACCAAAAACGCCACGCTGGGACCAGAGAAGCCATGCAGAGCCCATCGCTGACAGCTCTCCAGTGAATCTGAAAACCGGACGCAGACAAGTGAATCTGCCACTCGTTTCCCAGCAGCCCATTTGGACTTCCCACTGGACTCTGGTCTGAGCCCCAGATCCCGAGACCAACGCAGAGGCCCTCGCGCACGCACGGCTCCTCAGGACATCACACAAGGCAGAGAGCCAGAGCTACAAATTACTTTCTTCACTGCAAGTTCCAAAACACAGCAGCTGCGACCACAGCCCACTTTCTGGCCCTAAGAGGACATTTCACCCTTTTCTGAGGGAACAGAGAACAAAACTCTACTGGTGATTCCCTCCTTCAACTAAACGGTATGAGAGAAAGTGACTGGGTGTTACTCTTTTTTTTTTTGGTTTTTCTCTGTAATACCCAGGGCTTTTTTTGTAGAAAAAGCCCAGCAGGAACTCATTACCATAATAGGCCACACCCAACAGTAGAAACTCATTAGCATATTAGGCCACACCCCGACAGCACAGCTCATTGCCATATTAAGCCACACCCACATGTTACCAGAGGTGTGGTCATCCAGCCACACCCACCTTTTGCTTCTTATTCTGTTTACCTTGTTTGTGGTCAAAACCCAGGGGGGGATTTGTAGCAGGAACGCATTTGCATGTTAGGCCACACACCCCTAATGTAGCCAATCCTAATGAGTTCCTGTTGTTGGGTGTGGCCTATTATGCTAATGAGTTCCTGCTGGGCGTGGCCAACTTGGGAGCCAGCCAGAACTCCGTTCCTGAGCGTTCCTGCCCAAAAATAGCCCTGGTAATACCACTTTATGATAATGAATGGTGTTAGAAGGCTCTATGATTCTTACAATTGTTACTTATGTGTTTTTATCTTTTATGTAAGCTGCCCTGAGCCTGCTTTGGCGGGGAGGGTGGGGTATACATTAATTAATTAATTAAATCAATAGATACACTTTCCAGAAGGCGGCACTGAAGTGGCCCCCAGAAGTCTGTAGCTGAGGGTCTGGCAAACCCAACTGTGCTAAAACCAGGGTGGCAAAACCCCACCCACAGTGGCTCCGCGCAAGAGAAGCACAGACTAAAGCCTCTAAAACCAGCAATGCACTTGAGATACACCCCAAGCTTGGCCTTGCCCCTTTGAGGCCAACGAAACACATCTTCTCAGCAGGCGGGAAGAGCTATATCCTAAGGGGTCCCCCTCCACCATTTTATTTTTTGGCATTTTTGCATTTGTGAGTGCGTGTGTGTGTGACCGTGCCTGGAAGTCATGGCGACCTCTGTCAAGTGTTAAGAACATAAGAACATAAGAGACGCCAATGTTGGATCAGGCCAAAGGCCCATCCAGTCCAGCACTCTGTATCCCACAGTGGCCAGAAATACCAGTGCCATCAGGAGGTCCAGCAGTGGGGCCAGGACATTAGAAGCCCTCCCACTGTTGACCCCCCCCAAAGCACCAAGAAGACAGAGCATCACTTGCCCCAGAGCCCCTAGCTATACCTTGTGGCTAATAGCCACTGATGGACCTCTGCTCCATATGCTTATCTAATTCCCTTTTGAAGCCGTCCATGCTTGTAGCACCCACCACTTCCTGTGGCAGTGAATTCCATGTGTTAATCACTCTTTGGGTGAAGAAGTACTTCCTTTTATCCGTTCTAACCCGACCGCTCTGCAGTTTCATGGAGTGCCCACGAGTTCTTGTATTGTGAGAAAGGGAGAAAAGTACCTCTTTCTTTACCTGCTCTTTCCCATGCATAATCTTATAAACCTCGATCATGTCACCCCTCAGTCGTCTTTTCTCCAAGCTAAAGAGCCCTAAGCGCTTTAACCTTTCCTCATAGGGAAAGTGTTCCAACCCTTTTATCATTCGAGTTGCCCTTTTCTGCACTTTTTCCAAAGCTATAATATCCTTTTTAAGGTGTGGTGCCCAGAACTGCACACAGTATTCCAAATGAGGTCTCACCATTGATTTATATAGGGGCATTATTATATTGGCTGATCTGTTTTCAATACCCTTCCTAATAATCCCCAGCATAGCATTGGCCTTCTTTATTGCAGTCACACACTGTCTCGACATTTTCAGTGAGTTATCCACTACAACTCCAAGATCTCTCTCTTGCTCAGTCTCTGCCAGTTCAGACCCCATCAATGTGTATTTATATTTAGGATTTTTGGCTCCAATGTGCATCACCTTGCACTTGGCCACATTGAACCCCATTTGCCATGTTGACGCCCACTCGCCCATCCTTGACAGATCCCCTTGGAGTGCCTCACAATCCTCACTGGTTTTCACCACCCTGAACAACTTTGTATCATCCGCAAATTTAGCCACTTCACTGCTTACTCCCATCTCCAAATCATTAATGAACAAGTTAAAAAGCAGTGGACCAAGTACTGATCCCTGCGGTACCCCACTGCTTACCACCCTCCACTGAGAAAATTGCCCACCTACACTCACTCTCTGTTTTCTATGAACTAGCCAGTTTTTGATCCATAAAAGGACTTGTCCTTCTATCCCATGATTTTTGAGCTTACTTAGGAGCCTTTGATGAGGAACTTTATCAAAAGCTTTCTGGAAGTCAAGGTAAATAATATCTATTGGATCCCCCTTGTCCACATGTTTGTTCACCCCCTCAAAGAACACTAACAGGTTAGTGAGACAAGATCTTCCCTTACAGAAACCGTGCTGAGTCTGCCTCAATAGGTTTTGTTCATCTATGTGCCTACTAATTCTTTCCTTAATAATGGTTTCCACCAATTTACCCGGTATCGACGTCAGACTGACTGGCCTGTAATTTCCCGGATCTCCTCTGGAACCCTTTTTAAAGATGGGAGTGACATTAGCTACCTTCCAATCCTCAGGAATGGAGGCAGATTTTAAGGAAAGATTACATATCTTTGTCAGGAGATCTACAAGTTCACATTTGAGTTCTTTCAGAACTCTCGGATGTATGCCATCTGGGCCTGGTGATTTTTCAGTTTTTAAGTTGTCTATCAGTTTTAGGACCTCCTCTCTCGTCACCTCAATCTGACTCAGGTCTTTCAACACCCCTCCTGAAATCAGTGGTTCTGGAGTGGGCAAGCACTTCTCATCTTCCACAGTGAAGACGGAGGCAAAAAATGCATTTAGCTTCTCAGCCATTTCCCTATCATCCTTCAATACTCCTTTTACCCCTTGGTCGTCCAAGGGCCCCACTGCCTCCCTGGCTGGTTTCCTGTTTCTAATGTATTTGAAGAAAGTTTTATTGTTGGTTTTTACGTTTTTTGCTATATGCTCCTCATATTCCCTTTTTGCCTGCCTGACCTCAGACTTGCATTTTATTTGCCATAGCCTGTATTCCGTTTTATCAGCCTCACTGTGACTAGCTTTCCACTGCTTAAAGGAATTCTTTTTACTTTTTACAGCTTCCATTACTCTGTTTGTTAACCATGCAGGCTTTTTCCTATACCTTTTTGTGCCTTTCCTAACCTGCGGAATATATATTTTTTGAGCTTCTAGGATCGTAGTTTTAAATAGATTCCAAGCTTCCCCAATTGTTTTGACCCTTTCTACTTTTCCTTTCAGTTTCCTCCCCACGTGTCCCTTCATATCAGAGAAATTACCCCTTTTAAAGTTAAAAATGGTTGTGTGAGTCTTTTTGGCCAATTCTCTATTTGTACAAGTGATGAACTCAACAACATTATGATCACTGTTTCCAAGCGGTGCAATCACTTTTACATTTCTCACCAGGTCTTGAGTGTTACTTAGGACCAAATCAAGGATCGCCTCTCCCCTGGTAGGTTCCGTGACCATCTGCTCCATAGCACAGTCATTTAGAGTGTCTAGAAACTCAATCTGGGGCACAGAGGATATTCAGAGAAGTGGCTTGATAGCCTGCCTCTGGCCTCCCGGCCCTGGTATGCTCTGGAGGTCGCCCATCCAAAGACTCGCCAGGGTTGGCTCTGCTCGGCTTCCGGGATCTGACGAGGTCCGGCTTGCCTGGGGCGCTCCCCCCTTCTTGAGCCCCATCCACACATCACATGCCAGGACCGCAGGACTTTCGATGGGAGCTCAGCTGCCGCAGGTCTGGAGATTTCACTAGCTTAGCAACTTCATTATATTTTCAAGCTACACCTTTCTGTGCACAAATGAGATTTCCCCT